AGAGCAACTTGCGCGCAGCAGCAATGCAGCTTGCGCAGACCACTTTCGTGAGAAATCGCGCGGCGCAGTTCGAGAGGAAAGTAGGATGATGAGATGGAGCTCTCATGTGACCATACACACTGAGCATCGCCGCGCGCAGACACGCTCGCCGCAGCGATGTAAAAAGGTGTCTCCGCGGCTGGATGAGCACCTGTGGAAAAATGCTTTCGGGCCAATCGTCCTCTAGTCTGCCGCCTACTAAAAATTGGAACAGAACAAAGACAAACACCGTATTTCTTCGCCCGCCTACTTGAAAAGCAACCCAAAAAAGAGAAACTTGATCCAAGAAGAGCGAAGTTCGCGTATCCAGGCGCCAGCCTGGCCATGACCCCGCGCTTGGCGCGGCTCGGCGCCCCGCTCGTCCCGCCCGTCCCGAGCGTTCGGCCGCCGAGGGCGTGGTGCAGCACCTGCTCGCTGGCGCCCGCCTCGCCCAGCCCGCAGGAGGCCATGACGTGCAGGAGCTGGGCGAACCGCACCTCGGACCGAAGAAAAACGGGGAAGCTCAACGGAAAAACCACTTCCCCATGTTGTCTTCTCTTCTTGTTGTTGTGGTGGTTGTTGTTTTTTTGTTTTTTCTTCCTCATGGAGGAGGGGAGGTCTCTCAGCCACCATTGTGTTTCTTCTTTTCTTTTGGGCAGGCTGCCCTGCATAATCAATCATCCATGAAAGGGCAGCCCACCCTGCCAATTCACAAAAATGGTATGTGGTATCTGTATTGGAGAGCAAGAGGGTGAAAACCCCGAGCGTCGAAGGCGACCTTTAAATCTGAAGGCTCCCGTTGCAGGGCGGGAGCAGCCTAGACGAAGCCTAATCGAAACAGCAGCCGGAGTTCCCAGAGTGGGGGAGCTGGCAAGAAATGTAAGGGTTGCGGGAAGCACAAACTGACCAAACACCCTGTACAACGAAGGCCGTTCAAGATTTGGTGGCAGACTGGCTTTGCCAACTGCAGCTGCCATCACATTAAAGAGTCACAACAGGCCCTTCTTGTCTACCCTGTGTACTGAGACGGCTGTCTCCTTGTACCTGTGCTGAACAGAATTATAATTCCACACAACACGCAAATCACATCAGTACATGCGATGCCAACATGAAGCAAGTCCGTTTCAGACGAAAGCAGCAGCGCAGTGGAGTTCTTTGCAGCAGCAACCATCATAGACATTTTGTTTCAGCTGGAAACTCGGAGATGGAGGGGGTACAAGGCCAGTGGCCATTTTGGTTCTGTTTGGTCTCACCGGAGATACATAAGCCTTTGTAGCCATCTCGGGTGTTGGAATTCAATTAAGAGCACATGGGATATGGGAGAGCCTGCCCCTGTGGATTGATTTCCCCTCCCGATGAGAACAAAAAGCAGCCACAACCACCACACAAACAACAAAAAACGGTAGACGCTTGTTGTTTGGCTGAGCGGCCGCGCGTTGCAAAGGCTGCGAGGGGCCCAGAAATACGCCTTTGGCGTACGCCTCCCGTGCCTCATCCCACTGCCCAGAGCGCTCAAGCTCGACTGCCTCGGCCAAAGCTTCTTCGGCATCCTCTTGGCGCCATAAGCTCTGCACTGTCCGCTGCAACTCTTGCTTCAGCTGAGCCAAGGAATTGGAACCGGTCGCATTCGAGAGAAGTTGCCGCTTGGCGCGTCGAACTGTTGGCCGATCAAAGTCGGCCAGCACCAGCCTGTATAAAAGCGTGACCTCCCAAAACTCCAGAGAAGGCGGCGGCTCGTGACCAGCCTCTTCAGTAAAGGCTTCACATACTTGCGACCACAGTTCTTGCCAGCGATCATCGTAAAGTTCATCCATTTTAAAGGCAAGTCTCGTCGGATGTGTCAAGCTAACCCCGTTATGTACACAACCCTGGCCGGCTTAGACTTGACCATGTGCAGAAAGGCGTGCCGATGTCAATCCTGTTGACTTTAGCTCGTCTGGCATGCTTCTGTGTGAGCACAGTAGCTGGAGAGAATCCTTGAGCAAAAGATCGATGTGGCACCCTCCCGTGTGCCCCTCACGCCCACTCCTCTACTCCACCCCACCCTCATACGCTCCCCACTTCCGCTGGGGCCGAGGCCGGGCCCCGGGCCAGAAACCTGCCCTTCAATCGGGTCACCTGGGCCTGGCGCATGGAACCAAACCTCAGAACAAGGCTTATCTGAAGAGTCCACATGGCAGCATGCCACAAACAGGGGCGTTTTCACAACAGCCTTGACAGGAAACCTGAAAACTTGCGGCCAATCTGCAAATGGAAAACACACTCGACCTCGATCTCGCCACTGCCGACGCCTGCCACACGTGCCCCAGAGACCTCGCAACGCAACCAGTCTGGAAGATTCAACAGTCCAACAAAGCTTTTCCCTTTGTCTTTACAGCAAGCCCCTTCTCAAAGCCTCAGCCACAATGACAGGTACGAAAAGGAGCCAAGGCTCCAATACTTTTGGAGGGTGCCTGTTTCCTCCTCATCCTCCTCCTACTCC